TTGATGAAGTCCAAAATCAACATTCTAAAGCATCACCAAAACAGTCTACTGCATTAACATCTAGTTGATTCCAAAATGTAGAAACTAGTAATTTGGTTTTGGTTTGGTTTTCTGATGGGATTGCAGACCGTACTGCCAAACTGAAATTCTGGGACTCTGAACAACCCTCCTGAAAATCTGAGTTTTATGCAGATCTGAAGTATTACATGTCAGAACCCACCTGAGGGTGATATTTATAACCTTTGTAAACAAAAGAGAAAATCAGAGGCTTGTGGTATTTCTAAATAAGTAGTTTAGTTCCTCATGTTGCAAAAGTGTGACAAGCTTGCCTAGACCTCTGAGGAAAGTGACAGAACAGGAAATTAGTGACTAAAATTTTAGGACATTTGGGAAATAGGAGTAAATGGAGACTTATGTCATTTAAATAACAATCAGGCTTGAAGAAAAGAGAAAAAAAGTGAGAAACAGTTTGAATTTTGACAGAGAAATCTAACAAATGTAACAAACATGAGGCAGAAAATCTATGGAAACAATTCTATCTAACCATTTAATCACCCATGGAGCTATCATGTCTCCTTTTTATAGCTTGGAGATCTACTGCAGTTTTTAATGTGTTACCTGGACTGAGAATTAGTGATCAATGAGTCCATTTATTGATTACTATCCACAGGAAATTACATTTGTAAAAATTGTTATACATTATTGAAATGAATCACCATACATTATTGAAATTATAGCAAAATACACTGCAATGGGAATATAAGAAAGAAGAAATGAATATGCCTGATTTAAGTGAAATACCTGTTCAATACAACAAGGAGGTATTCTGTTTACTTTTCGTCCTTTAAATATGAGATGTTTCTCTATTTTCATTTCCTGATCTGATTTCATATGTCACTTATCTTACTACTTAAGAAAGTAAGGTTTCTGATTTCCTGAGATATCAGTCTGAATTAGAGCAACAAAAAACCACTTGATAAACTATATTTATTTAAAAATGTCGTATTTACTCTTGTTTACAAAAGTATTTCCATTTCTAGAAATAGACAGCATGCTTAACTGGTGCAGAAAGACAGAGATAAAGTAAAAGAGAACCTGGAGCAAGGCACAGAGAATACTAACATCAACTATGATCTTTCTATCACCTATTATTGGAATGAACAGCCAGTAAGGACACTGGGAAGAGCAAACTCCCAACACCAAGTGTAGTCGATTTCCAGGATAAAAGTAGTCAGTTCAAGTATGTAAGTCAAGAGCAGCATCATGATTGAGAACCATGGCCTTGGTGCCATTCTTCCAGGATTCAAATCCTGTCCCTATCAATTACTAGCATTGTAACATTAAAAAAATTACTGTTTTCCTCATCTATAAAGCAGGGGTAGTAATACCCATCCTCATAGGGTTATTATAAGGATTAAATAAGATAATCCATGTAGAGAAAGTTGCTCAGTCATGTCCGACTCTTTGGGACCCCATGGACTGTACAGTATATGCAATTAATTCTCCAGGCCAGAACACTGCAGTGGGTAGCCTTTCCCTTCTCCAGGGGATGTTCCCAACCCAGGGATGGAACCCAGGTCTCCCTCATTGCAAGCAGATTCTTCACCAGATGAGCCACAAGGGAAGCCCAGCCATCAGGGAAGATCCATGTAAGGCACTTCAAAAATATGATTTAAAAAGAACACCCCAAAAGCTTATGCTATTAATAACATGACTATTATATTCTGCAATGAAAATATTATTGCCATGGATTAATAAATAAATCAAGGTCCACAGATGCATAATGACAAACAAAATAAAGATGAGCCTCCTTAATGGGATAAATGAACATGATAAAATGATTCTTTCTCCTTTCATCATAGCTATACATTTCTGTGTATCGAATAAAAATAACAATCTTGTACAAATCTTTACTAAAATAAATGCTGAGTCAGTTAATTTGGTTTCCGAATAGCAATGTATCTCTTTGAGAGGAATAACTGTTAAAAATAGCATATGAGGGGCAAGAAAACTTTTTTATATGTTTTCCAAAAACAATAAAATGAAACAAATATATCATAAAACCTGACAGACGACTGTGCTCATTAATGGCTATTATATACATTTTTATAACATAAATCTTGAAAGACAAAAGTGTTCTTATTAATAAAATTAGCTGTTTTCAGGCTTTATAATTTATCTTTTCAAATACATAGGATAAATTTCTCTTAAAAAGTGCAACAGACTCTAGCATGGTGCCTTATACTCATAAAGCATTTAATAAATGTTTGTGATGCAGTTTTGAAATCGGACAGAATCAGGTTCAAAGTTCAGCTTGCAGTCACATAGCTGGGGAGGATACTAACAAAATTGCCTACCCTCTTTGAATCTTAATCTCCTTAGTTGCACCATGGGCATAAAAATACCTAAACCACAGAGTTCTGTGAAAATCAAATAAAGAAGCAATATGCAAAACACCTGGGGCTTCCCAGGTGCCTAGGTGGTAAACAATCTGCCTGTCAATACAGGAGACGCAGGTTCAACCCCTGGGTCAAGAAGATCCCCTGGAAAAGGGAATGGCAACCCACTCCAGTATACTTGCCTGGAGAATCCCATAGATAAAGGAGTCTGGTGGGCTACAGTCCACGGGGTCGGAAAGAGTTGGACGTGACTGAGCATATACTCAAGCATGCAAAATATCTACCCAAAGTATCTGGCAACTGGTGCATAAATCATCTGCAAACATATCATTTTAGTACTTCCTGTCTAATCTGGATACCTTCTATTATTTCTTTCTTCTTAATTGCCTGGCTAGAACCTCTAGTAAAATGTTGATTAGAAGAGGCAGAAAATTCACACTTCAGATTAGAAAACTCACACTTCTTGATTTCAAACTTACTACAAAGCTACAGTAATTCAGATAGTATAGTACAAGTATAAGAACTGACATACAATCAGTGGAATAAAATCAAGAGTCCAAACTCACACATCTATGGTTAAGTCACTTTCCACAAGGGAGACAACATTATTTAATGAGGCCAGAATAGTCTTTTCGACAAATGGTGCACGGACAACTAGATATCCACATGCAAGAGAAGGAATCTGAACTTCAACTTCATACCATAAACAACAATTAACTCAATGTCTTACATGTAAGATACAAACTATAAAACTCTTAGAAGGAAATATAGGTATACATCTTTGTTACCTTGGGTTAGGCAATGCCTCAGTGGATAAATTTGGATTCCGCTAACATTAAAAATTTTGTGTGTCACAGGACACCCTCAAGAAAAAGAAAACCCACGTAACAGGAGAAAATACCTGCAAATCATATCTCTGATAATGATCTAGTATTCAGAATATATAAAGAACTCTTGAAGTGAAGTGAAAGTCATTCCGTTCTGTCTGACTCTGCTATTCATGGACTATACAGTCCATGGAATTCTCCAGGCCAGAATACTGGAGTGGGTAGCTGTTCCCTTCTCCAGGGGATCTTCCCAACCCAGGGATCTAACCCAGGTCTCCTGCATTGCAGGTGGACTCTTTACCAGCTAAGTCACAAGGGAAGCCACAAAGAAGTCTTAGAACTCACTAAAGAAAACAAATAATCCAATTAAAAAATGGGCAATGGATTTAAAGAGATATTTCTCCAAAGAGGACATACAAATGGCCAATAAGCACATAAAGAGAAGCTCAAATCATTAGTCATTAGCAAAGGACAAAGCAAACCATTATGAGCTACAACTTCACAATTCCTAGGATGGCTATAGTTGGAGGAAAAAAGAGGTGAATAGCAAGTGTTGGTGAGGATGTGGAGAAACTTGAACCCCATCATACACTGCTGTTAGAAACCTAAAGCGGCACAGCCACTGTCAAGAAATAGTTTGCCAGCTCCTGAAACAGTTAAACAGAGCTAACACAAGTCTCCAGCAATTCCATCCACTGATGAATGGATAAACAAAAGTCACACAGCTGTATAATAGAGTATTACTCCACCATAAAAAGGAATAAATTATGAGACACACTACATATATGAAACTCAAAAACATTTTACTACTAAGTGAAAAAAATGGCCACATAATGTATAATTTAATGTGCATTCATATGAAATGTCTAAAATAGGCCAACTCACAGAGACAGAAAATATATCAGTGGGAGTGATTACTACCATTTACGGGGGTTCTTTTTTGGGGTAATAGATTCTGGAATTATGGACAGTAGTCATAGCTGCACAAAACTGAGAATGTAATTTTTAAAAAGACCACTGAATTGTACACATTGAAAAAGTGAATTGTATATTTATACAAATTTTATCTCAATAAAAAACCACGAAAAATTTTTAATTGGATAATTTTCCCCCAAAATACCATTTACACATTGATTCTTATTTCCATACTTCCTTAATAATGCCACAAATGTGTGAGTAGGCAGTTTTTTGAAATCTTTCCTCTAATTCTCTGATTCTATTATATATACCTCTTCTAATTGGAATAAGGACTACCCATTTCTCTCTATATTAAATATCTTATTCTTTTTCTTCTGTTTATTATTTTTTTTTTTGCAACACTGCATGGCTTGTGGGGCCTTAGTTCCTCAACCACGGATTGAACCCAGGCCCTTGGCAGTAAAAGCATGGAGTCCTAACCACTGGACCACCAGGAATTCCTCCAACATTAAGTACTGTAGATTGTGTGGTTTTGAAAAAAACAGTGTTTACAAGTTTACATATATATACATATCAATATGAATGGACACAGAGATATATAAAGACAGACAAACAGCAAGGTGATAGGCACATGTAAGAAATACAGTTAAGAAATATTTTCCTAAAGTGAAACTGTCTGTTGATCTTTCACAGAGTTCTTCAGAAATAGTGACACATTTGTCAAAACTATACAGCTTTGTGTATTAAATAATTGACTCAACAGAGAGCATTTACTGTAAATGCAATTACTTACTTGCCTGTATCTTAATCCTCTTCATTTCTATTCTAAACCAACATTCCACCAGTGAGAACTTACCCTAAGCATGGGGCCATTCTGAAACACATGTGGTTCATCACAGACCACACAGTACTCATTCAACACAGGGATCCGCTGTTCAGCAAACTCAATTGTCTGAATAAGACAATAAAGAGAAAGAATTAAGTTAAGTTCAAGAAGGATTTGAAAACCCACTAAAGGCTAAACTATTTCAAAGGCTTGGCTCATACCTGCACTAGGAAGCCACGGTCTCGTATTGGAATGCATTTGGCACCATTTGACTACAAGAAGCAAAGTAAAAAGAAAATGTTTTTCAATTAGGAAAAATATATAAATTATAGCGTTTTACTCTTGCAACAATGAAGGCAGATGTGATTTTCTAAGACTATCAGTGAATCAAATCACTGATTATGACACTAAGATTTCAGAATTTATTATAATGCTCTTTCCTCCATTATTATTGCAATCTTTTGTTTAAACTAAATGAATTGCCTTCTTAATTTCTGATCTTCTAGTAAAAATGACTGGCATCTCTAAATGATCACAAAAACTTGCTGTCTCTACCCCTGATCACTGAACACTCTCACTTCCTCATTTAGACTATTCAATCTCATTTTACAACTAGATAGAACTATTCCTCCAAGCATGTATAAAAGAGGTACAATTCCTCCAAGCTGCTGAAAGGGGTAGAATACTAAACTACCGTATTATGCTCAACATAATATGCTCAACATAATACGGTAGGATGTATTATGGGAAGACACTAAGACATTTTCTTTCACAGAATATCTAAAATTATCTTTCTTGAGTGAAACTAACTATGGGATTCTTTCTACTATGTAACTCTGACAAAATTAATTTTCTGTATGTCTTTGATAGTTTTGAGAAGATACGGGCTTTGGGGATGTCCACCTAAAACTACCAACATAGCCAAATATATTTTCTCCACACAAAATTTCACGGTATAGTTTACAATGTAATTTCAGAAACATATCTATACAAGAGCACCACAACACACACACACACACACACACACACACACAAATTTACTAAAAGCAAAGAAAAATTTTGGTCAATTATTTTATGTAATTATAAATAAGATAGGTCTGCTTCTTTATACGAAGATGGCTATAATGCTAATCACTCTAGAGGCAAACTTTGTGTAAATCTGACTCCCAGTAAATACCACCCAAAGTACTTAAGTTTTAATACAGTCTCCCGCCAGCCCCATCTTCACCACAAAACAGGTTCAGGATAAAGCAATCTCAGTTTTATAAAGCAGACACTGAGAACAGCTTGAAGTGACGCTCTGGGATACAGCGGTTAACTATCACTCCTCTCTACAAGTTCACAGGCAAAGCTTTCCGCTTATGTACAACAGGAAGGACACCACTCTTAATCTTTAGACAAACTCTGACTTCTACTACTTATGTGAGAAAACTAGAAATTAGATAAACCTGCTTAACTAAACATTAAAAATGTTTAGTGAATTCAATGGACTTCCTTCTATTTTTAGGAGCATTCATTCCCATGACAGGAATCTGGACTAAACTTCACATCCACAGGAACGTTTATTTTTCCAGAATCAAAACGAACATTCCAGTACTAGCTGCAAATGTCTGGTATGCAAAGGAATATTTCAAAGAAAAAAAAAATAGTAAATCTTCAAAACCCAAAACAAAACCGTGCGTCTTTGAATAGACCTTCACAAAACAAACACACTCACAAAACCCTCTCCTGCCCCTTGGCTAACATCTAAGAACTCAAGATGAAAATATGTACGCACAGCAGGCTGGGAAGATGAAGATGACGATGGTGTTAAGATACCAATGAGCCCTGAGGTAAGAGAGAGCCTCCTGCCCTCTGCGTTGGGTTCCTTGAAAAGCTCCGTTTTGGATGACTTGGGGGCACTGGTGTAAGACTTGCTGAGCAACTTGTGATTCTTGAGTCCGTATAATTCTTCCATTCTGAGGTTACTGGAGTAAGACCTGCTCAACAGTTTGTGAGGCTTCAGGCTGGCGTTGTGCTCACAGCGCGGGTCTCCAGAACAAGAGCGGGTCAAGAGCTTGTGCGACTTGAGAGCGAGGCAGTCCTCCTGCTTGACGGCGGCAGGGCAGGGGCGGTTCAAGAGTTTGTGCGACTTAATGGTGGTCACGGCCTGCTCAGCCCGGGGGTCGCTGGACAGCGAGCGACCGAAGGTCCTGTGTGGCTTCGGCGCGCACACGTCCTCCGTCTTGACGGTGCTGGAACAAGTCCTCCGCAGCAGCTTGTGTGTCTTGGAGATGCCGTCCTGCTCCGACTTCAGTTTGGATTTGCTTTTTCCACAACCAGGGGGAGGATAACTTGGCGACCTTCGAAATCGAATAGTTAACACAGGGCAAATCGTGAGTGTAACAGACCGTGAATACCTGTCGGGCTCCATCAACTCAACTCTGCTACAAATACCATCTCTTTAAACCCAGCCTATCTAATGAAAACTGAAACCAGAAGTATGTACAGAAAGACCACAGGGACTGAATTCTATGTTTCCTGGAAAGCAAAAAAAAAAAGGGGGGGGGGGGGACTGATTGTCCAGTTGTTTTTTTTTCCCCCTCCTACCTAATCTAGAGACCTAAAAGCTGTGGTCCCTAACCTTTTTCATATGAGGAACAGTTTCCTGGAAGAAAAATTTTTTCCTGTACCTGGGAGTGTGGTGGTTTCAGGATGGTTCAAGTGAGTTACATTTATTGTGCAGTTTATTTCTATTTTGTGGCAATCTCAGGATATTCCACCTTGACTTTAGGCTTAGGGTTTTCAATCCTCTGAGAATCTTAATGTCACCAATGATCTGACAGGAGGTGGAGCTCAGGCAGTAATGCTAGTGATGGGGAGCGACTGTAAATAAATATGAAGCTTTGCTTTCTAGCCTGCAGCTCACCTCCTGCTGTGTGGCCTGGTTCCTAAGAGGTCATGGACCATTTGAGGACCCCTGCTATACAAAGGACTAATTTTGGTAGGGAAACTCTATGGAATTAGAAACCAAAAGAAATGTAATTTTAGTAAATTTAACCAATGTAAAAATACAAAGTCAAAACAGAGAAATGAGTAGCTATGTTTTTTGATGGAATGGACGTAACTTGGTTTGCTCTTTAAAGTCATAAAGAAAATAAACAGATGCCAAGACTGTAGTAGAAATGCTCTGAACTAAATAACCATGGAAGATCACAAGTTGCAGCATTTAAGTAAGATGAGGGAAAGATGTCTATTACCTACCTGCGCAAGGTTGTAAATAAATGCAGGGGAGACTTGACTTTCTTCTCTGACAGCTTCTTATTGTGCAGGCAATTGGATTTTTCTTTGCTCTGCTTCCACTGCTGTGTAACAAATGTCTGCATGATTCTGTCAAACCAAAGGTAAGTGTGTTGTCACAGTTCCAAGGTAATTTACTATCAGATTTCTGTACAGATTATGGAGAGAATGCATTTATCAAAGGAAAATAAATGCATGGTGATTAGAAAGAATTTAATTTTGAACCATACAAGATGATTTCATGTGTGGTAAAGCATCTTATAGAAAATCTAATGATTTTACTGTGTTACAATTAATAATTAATTACTGACATAATTAAAATATAATTGATTAATTGCTAAAAGGTAAAAGAATAAGGATATAAAGAGATTTATAAGGATACCCTATAGGATCAACACCTTTAGCTTTGGTGGCAAAAGAAAAGTCTGAAATATTTTGTTGGTGCCAACCACAGGTTTAAAAATGATTTTTGTTAGTAATTATGATTAAGATACAACTAAACTTTTTCTTTTTATTTGATTTGTTTATGTAGTTTTCTTCCTGGAAAGGACACTAAAATAAAACTAAAAAATCCTAAGCAAAAATAAGCTGTGCAAAACTAACTCTATGGAGAATAAGCAGATCAGCAAGTTTTATGTTCAGCACAGTCCCATTCACTTGAAAATATGCTGTATTTTTTTTTTCTTTTAATGATGAGCCTCTAAGAATTTTCAGTTCCTATCATAAGGCAGGAATTTGGTAACTTCTGACCTCAATATTTTCTAAATCAAGACCACAGCATCACTGTTTTCCGGTAAAAAATTCTAGAATGTCAACTGCAGATTTAAGACATGGCCTTATTTTCTGAGATGGGTCCCAGGCTATGACAGTTTCTCTGGATCCCATCTCTCCAGTGGCACTGGAGAAGGTCCCTTAGCTGATATTGAAGTAGAGAAGAAATTTTACAATTAAACATTGTGTACAACAGATTAAACATTTTCATTTTCTTTTCAAAGTCAATTCAGCACTGCCTGCTTTTCCTGCTATTTTCAGTTATTTCTAACACATTGCTTTTGGACCAGGAAAATGGTACCAGTATTTACCACTGACAATATGCCAGGGTGTAAAGGAGGAACTTTATTTACAAATCTTTTTTCCTCCTTCTACACATTTCATAAGTAAGGTAAAGACATGAAAATTTGTCCAAGTTTACCTGGATAGTAAGTGGCAGGGCTGTAATACCTATGTAATCCAATACGGATGAATCTATGTTAATATGTTATCCAAAAGGGGCAGGTGTGTCTCTTAATACTAGGCTGATTATTCACTTACCAAATTAACTCAGATTGCCAGAAACTACATCACTCAGACTTACTACCCCAACTTTGTCAGCTAGCTTAGATGAATTCAGAGGAAATCTGGAATTATTGGGGGGGTGTTTATAGCTGTAGAGGTAGTGAGGAAGAAGAATAAAAACTGCAGTCACAGTCAATGATGCATGATTTCAGATTTGCAGTAAATCCCTCCCAGAGATCAGAACAGGAAACCAAGGCTTTATTTCCCACTTAATTTTTGAAGATATTTTTTCTCCCAAGATTTTGGCAAAATTTAAATGTAACAGAACATCAGGGTCATCATTTTCCCCTGTACCTAACCTCGAATCCCCAGTGACACCATACCAGGCAGATTCGGATTCTTTCCTCCTATGAAAAACTGCCATTCCTGTCTACCATTCCCTAAGAAACCTAACAAGTGCTTCTCTGATTCTCGACAGACTAACCGAACAGACTAACAAAACACAAGTCAAAGAGCTAAAATTGTTCCCACTTTCATATAACATTTGCATTCTAAGGTGTGACTTCAATATCTAAAACTAGTAATTCTTAAACTTAGACACCCAAATCCATACCTGTTCTTGGATTTGAAAGGGAGGAGTTAATTATCTCTGTAAGAAGTTCAATATGGTGTTTCATTTCAATGGTAATCTGAAATATACATATGAGTACATTTGGTATAATGGACACTCCCTTAAAATAGAGATTTCCGTGCTCACACTGGTCTTTGAATGCTGGCACTAAGAAGAACTATTACAATTGCCATTGGCTGATAATAAAGAAGGGAAAAAGACCTCAAGGTAAATTATACATTCACATCAAGTGAAGACCAGGTGATGTCATAGTCAGCTATCTGAACAAAGATTCCAGGGTAGTTCAGATAGAGAAATGGGAGTATACATGGGCAATGTGATGATTTTCTACATGTTGATTTCAAAAGAAGTGTGCTCCACCACTGTAACCAGTACTGTGTTCAAACTGTGGTGGTGAAACAGCTGCAGCGAAATGACATCATTCATCAAGTTAAATTCCTGTATTATTTTGAAAAGTGAGTTTTTATTTCAATTTGCACATCAGTTATAAATTGAATTTTGGTTTATAAATTTGAACTCAACATATGAATAATTTATACCATGCTTTATTTGCATGTACTTAAGGCACTGCTGGAGATTCACAATATACGTTTCCTTTTAAAAACAGCTTAAGTTTGATTAATGCCAATTGAACGTAAAGTCATACAGAGTTTAAGATTATTTCCATAGTCTGTGATATGCTTAGCCTTTGACTAATAGATGGCCTATTCAAGACTGATCACTATATTACATCTGTTTGGACTCGGTTATTTTTTCCTCCAGGCTCTTTTAATGACTTCATGTTTTCCCCAATATCTATTCAATGCTGAAAATATATTCCAAGCCTTATTAAGGCAAGGGAGTATCTAGGATTGTATGAGAGACAGATTAGTGGGTGAATCAAAAATACTGATGTGAAATCAAATCCTGGCTCTACCACTTTCTCAGTGTGTGAGCTTAAGCAAGTTGCTTAAACTCTTGGTGCCTGGGCTTCATCATCTAGGAAACATGGAGGGTATAGTACCTGCTTGATAGGGTTGTTATGAAGATTAAGGGTGGTGATACACATCATTATGCTAAGTACTTGACAAAAAAGCAGCACTGCATAAGCAACTGCTGCAGCTACTGCTGTGGTTTAGATTCTGTCTTATTGCCAGAAACACAAAAGATAAAGAATCACAGAAAAAGTTTAATGAGCGTTTCTTATATCCTGAACAATAACAAAAGGCCTAGATTCTAAATCTGCCTTCCTAACTTGCTGTATGTTTCTGGGAAAATAACCTCTTTATATTTCAATTTCCTCTTATGACTTATTCTGAGAATGAGATCAGGTTTTGAATTTTATTATATATTATGTTAGATGAGAAGATCACAGGCAAACCCAGTTATTTAAAATTAAGGAAAGAAACCAAATTAGACTAAAACTGATCAAGAGTCATGAAAAAAAAGTTCCAGTTCATATACCAAACTGTCCACATAACTAAAATCTATACATAAAAGCAAATAACTTTTTTGAAAGGCTATTTCCTGGTGGATCAGTTGGTAAAGAATCTGCCTGCCAAGAAGGAGACCACCTGCAATGTAGGAGACCTGTATTTGATCCCTGGGTCAGGAAGCTCCCCTGGAGTGGGAAATGGCAACCCACTCCAGAAACCCCATGGACAGAGCCTGGCAGGCTCTAGTCTGTAGAGTCACAAGAGTTGGACATGCCTCAGCAACTAAACATATTCTATAATGTGATTAAACAGTGAATATAGAATACAGATTCCCTTAATTTCTCAGGGTTGGGGATTACACACATCATTACTTTTTCTGAGCCCAAATGATGTACTCAAATGGCAGTACGGGTAGGAAGCTATTTCTACACTTCTGTACTTGTATGTTTCTTGTCTTGTTTGGACCAATGTCATTTCACTCTCCCAAAATATTTCTTAAGTGGCTTACAAAATAATATAAAGTAGAACTCTGGACTTTGGGTGATAATCATAGTCAATATAGATTCACCAGTTGTAATAAATGTGCCATTTGGTAGAAGATGTTGATAATAGGGAAGCTATGTATGTGTGAGGGCAGGAGGCATTCTCAGTACCTTCCTCTCAATTTTGCTGTGAACCTAAAACCAATCTAAAGAGTAAAGTCATTAAATTAAAAATAAGTTTTAAAATGAAGGAGAAAATTGGTGAAGGAAAAAAAAATCATGGGGGGGTGGGAAGATGTGACAAGGGGAGGTGGTACCTAACTTGAATGGCTTAACATAGAAGGCAGGCTCCATGCTTCGCTCCAAGACCTGTAAGATATTGGCTTGAAAAACAAAGTCCAATCGAAAAAACAAAGCCAATTAAGCTGGAAAAACATACCTAATTCAATACAGAAAACTGAGAAAATTTCTTTTCAGAGTCCTTAAGAAGAAAACACTACATAATATAAAGTGCTAAACATATGTTGTAAATTGAAATTTATTTCAAAGATGTGGAATTCTAAACATTAAGAGTTTATTTTCTGATTTTCACATGCCCACCTTCTCAGGTGGAAGGCAGGCTGTTGCAGGGATGAGAAAGGATCCTGTCTGGGGGGCGGAGGTGGGGAGTAGGGGGAGGGGCTGGTGGAATCTGGCCCAGTTCTAAAAGTGTGCTGTGCCAGCTAAATTATTGATGAGCCTCTAAGCATCAGGATGAATTCCTCTCCTGAGGCATTTACTTCAAAAAGCTGTGCTGAATAAAAATGGGGTGGGGGTGGCAAGCAAAATGAGAACTCAGTTCTCTTTAATAGAAATTTGCTTTTCACTCATTGGAAAACTTACTTTTTCAGCTGATGTCCCAGGCCAAATCTCTCTTTTGTGGAAATCTGAAAGACATCAACAGTGGGCACTGCAAAGGAAAAACAAAAAAACAGTCTAAATATTGAGTTGAAACTCAACTATCAGCCAGGAAAAAGACTGAAAAGTAAATTATATATTACTATGTGTACGTAATATGTATATACACATACATACACATTTTAAAATAGTCTACACACAATGCTACACGTGGCTACTTATGCTTTATATAGAGATTCTGGAGATCATTCTAGGCTTCTATTGCTGTTGTTGAGTCACTAAGTTGTGTCCGACTCTTTGCGACCCAATGGAATGCAGCACTCCAGGCTTCCCTGTCTGTCACTAGCTCTCAGAGTTTGCTCAAACTCACGTCCATTGAGTCATTAATGCTATCTAACCATCTCATCCTCTGCCACTTTTTTGCCTTCTGTCTCCTTTTGCTTTCAGTCTTTCTCATCATCAGGGTCATTTCCAATGACTCAGCTCCGTGCATCAAGTGGCCAAAGTATTGGAGCTTCAGCTTTAGCATCAGTCCTTCTAATGAATATTCAGGTTTGATTTCCTTTAGGATTGACTGATTTGATCTCCTTGCTGTCCAAGGGACTCTCAACAATCTATTCCAGCGCCACAATTCAAAAGCATCAATTCTTCAGTGCTCAACCTTCTTTATGAACCAACTCTCACATCTGTACAAGACTACTGGAACAACCATAGCTTTGACTATATGGACCTTTGTGGACAAAGTGATGTCCTTGCTTTTTAATACACTGTGAGGTTTGTCACAGCTTTCCTTCCATGTTATATACTAATGTACAAATATATGTACATGTAAGTGTACAATAGGTATAATAATGATGATTTTCAAAAATATATATTAAGTGTAAATAGCAATGTGTATTACAGTTTGCACTCTATTCTTTAGGTGTAAGAGAGACATGTGTGTATACACATAGATCCTTTTTTTAGAATAAAACAATGGAGAATGACAGTAAGGCATAGGGAGATTCACTTTTCACTGCACACCATCTTGTGTGCTTAATGTTTTTATCAGATATGTGCATTTCTGTAAGCTAGTAACTATGCTGCTTATGAAATTGATAACCAGCAAAAGAGTCACTCACCATTCATTATTCACTGGTTTAAAGGGTATTTATTATGTTCCCTCTGTGCCAGCCACTATAGATAGAGCTGAAAAACACACAAACACCCCTGCCCTTATAAGCCTTAGTAAACAGGGGGAGATGGATAGAAAGCAGATAAGAAAACAGATAAAATGTCACACAGTGATAAAGACTCTGGATAAAAATAAAAAGGGAAAAGGGGGGAGGGGGCTAAAGGTTAGGTGGGCATAAAAAGACTTCAACATTAGATAGTACGGCAGAAAGAACACGGTCCTGGCCAGAGGAAACTCTGCCCCTAAGAAAGAAACGTGCTTCACCACTCTAGGAGCACCAAGGGGAGTCGGAGAGGACTGAACAAGGCATCTCGTGAGGAGATGAGATGAGAGAAGGAGTGCAGGCAGCTCCTTCTTTACTGGATCTTCTGTAAAGACCAAAGGCAGAAACAGGAAACTCAGTCCAGAACTCACAGTACTTAAGGGAAGAGCATGGCAGCTGGGATTAGTGAAGGTGGTGAACATTCTGGATTCACACTCTCTGGGAGATCTGACAGGTTTGGCTGATGGACTGAATTCAAAGTATCAGAAAAAGAATGGAGTCAAGGATGAATCAAAGGATTTTGGCTTGAGCAACCGGAAGTATAAAACTTACAAATTTCTGGGTGAAAGACTGCAGGAGCAGTGTGGAAGATTGGCAGTTTCACTCTGGATATTGTAAATTTGGGTGGGGAAGATCCCCTGGAGGAGGAAATGGCAACCCAACTCCAGTATTCTTCTTGCCTGGAGAATCCCATGCACAGAGGAGGTTGGCAGGCTATAGTCCACAGGGTCGCAAAGAGTCAGACACGACTAAGCACCCATGCTCACTGTAAATTTGAAATGCTTGTTTGTCACTTGAGTGGAAAAGTTTAAGTAGGCTACTAGAGAAATCCAGTATTTACACATGAGAGTAACATGCTAAAGAAATACATTTGGACGAGTCAGAACTTATATGGATTTAAAGGCATGAGGCTGGATGAGAAACTATGAATGAGTGTAGATGGAAGACAGAAGTTAAGGATTCGGCCTGAGCCATCCAGTATCTAGAGGCTCCACAGAGAAGGTTGAAGAGGAATAGCTAGGAGGATGGAAGATTCCAGAATGCTGCTGATATGGACATATGTTCACAAAAGTTTTCCCAAGGAGGGGATAAACAACTGTTATAATATGCTGCTAAGTTAATTAAGATGAAGACTCCAAATTGGTCATCGGGTCATTAAGCAATATTCAAGTCACTGGTGACGCTGACAAGAGCCCGGGTTGTGAAATGATGCATCCAAAACACATCTACAGCATATTCAAGGAGAAAAAGGAGGGGAAGAAAATGAAGCAAGTTAACAGAGACAAGTCTAAAGAAGAACCTCAACAGTCATGGGAAGCAGAGTGCTAGGGACTAAATGAAGAGTGATTTGAGGTGTAAAGGTGTTTGTTTCAAAAATGAGAGGGCTTTTTTTTTTTTTTACTAATGGGAATCTTTTAGAAGAAAGAGACATGGACAGCGTAAGGAGAGAGAAGGGTGTGTTAATTAGATGAAAGAGGATGGAAGCTAGTATGCAAATAAAAAGATAAGCTTGTATGAGAGCATGGGTAGTACCATTCTTATGAACTGTTGAAATAACAGTTCATTAGAACTAAGACTGTCTAATTACTGTACATTCTCAGACCACACATGCTTCACACAGCAAAGCATGCTGGTATCCCCACCTGCCTCATTCCCTGTCTTGGCCATTAGTCTGGGATACAAACACTCCACTGATCAAAGAAAACTGGTGCTAATCACCCATCAGTTTCTTTCCAGCAAACATTCTAATCCTTAACAGAGAGAATACTTAATTTCAATTGCATACATCCCAAACCCAGGGCTATAGAAAAGTGAATTTTAAAAATCCTAACTTGAAAACTCAGGGGAATTATTCTTTAAAGAAAAAGATGAAAAAATTAGAACAGAGTGTGTTTTCTAAGAAGATTTAAGAAGACACAATCTCTTCTCAGGATTATGGAAAAAGAAACTGGGAAGATGGAGGCAGAAAAATGAAAGGGGCCAGGCTTTAAAGAATGCAGAAAAAAATTCAAAATGCACTAGAAGAAATGAAATCTTCGCTGAAGATAATTGTATAAGACAAAGGGAGAAAGAGAGAAGAGATATAATACACACAACTATTTATCCAAAATATATAAATTATTCCTACAAATTAATAATACAAAGACCAAAACTTATTCATACTATGAATTAGTAGAAACTAAATGTCACAAACATTGACTCAATTAGTAGTATAAAATCTGAATTACCCCAAATTTTGGAATATACTTAAAGAGCTAAGAAGATGTTACTTCCAAAAATATTCCAAAATTCAAGTGACAAAATTCATATACTATTAAAATTAATGAATGCAATTAGCTACTGAAATGTATTTAATGTATTAAAATAAGATGTTAGTAATCAGTTAAATTGGATATACATGTATGGGGACTCTATACTAACTCTGCAGTTTTTCTGTAAACCTGAAAATGCTTTATATTAATTTTTTTTAATGTTTTTTAAAAGTAATAGATATTTGCTAGCCAAAATAATCAGCTAGAAAATAAAATGGAATATAAAAGACACATTAAGCAAATAAACAAATGTGTGTCTGTATGCTCAGCCGTGTCCAACTCTTTGCGACCCCAGGGACTGTAGCCCATCATGCTCCTCTGCTCATGGAATTTTCCAGGCAAGAATATTGGAGTGGGTGTCATTTCCTCCTCCAGGAGTAAACAAATATTCAGGTATAAATTTAGCTAAAAGTAGTCTTTTAAGTAGACTATTTAAGAGTAGAATCTACAAATAAATAAATATAAAAGTAGAACCTACAAGTAAATGACCCTTTACAGGAAAAGTAATAAATATAATAGAAATACTTATTCTCCCTAAATTAAAAGTTTACCTCAACCAAATTCCTCACAAAGTACATTTTTGGGGACAAAAGAATGAGAAAGATAAACTACTAAAATATTTTTTGTTTTAAAAGGGAAGATTATTCAGTTTTTCCTTGTCTCTCATAATTTAGGTTGGGAAAGCAATAAGTGAGGGTCGCTCAAGATAGGTGGAAATTACTCCAACTCTGATCATATAAATATACTGGTATCAATAATGAGATGATTTGCACAAGAAAACATTTTTAGTAATGTTAGTTGTGTGTCACTTTAAACAAAAAGCAGCCGTGACCTTGAGACCATAGACTAGACTTACATACCAGCAATTTTCAAAAAAATATACAGTACCATAAAAATCATAACAATCTTGTCTTTTTATTTAAAATATATTTCCCCATGTACAATGAAAATAATCTTTAACTTCAAAGTGGATAAGGAGGTTATTTCTTCAATTCTTATCATTTCTGTTCACTCACAGATACACTGTCAGATTAGCCCTGGCCAAATGTTATAGTTCAGATAAGTATTACTCATACATTCTCCGAACCGAGGAACAAATGCTCTTCAAAAAGAACTGTTAACTAGGTCAGCCTAAATCTTGGATTTTTGCAAGTCATACATTTTTTGCAAGTTCATTTTACTATAAATGTTGATATTGTCAAAGACATTGCAAAACAATCTTCAAGAAATACTTTCTCATCTACTTATTTGCTTGCAATGATCCAAATCATAAACTACAATAAACTCTCATTACTTTTTCTAGAATAATAAATTCTATGTTTTTTTTTAGTATCCTTGTCTCTATTTCATATTATTCCTAATTTTAAATCATATTCTTCCTTAAATTTCTCTGAGTAAAAAACATAGTCTTTGGGGAAATTTACTAGTTAAGCTGACAAAGTGAGTCAATCGTCCTGAACAAGCCTTATCATAATTGCTGCATTTTAGAAATAGGAGAAACCCAGCAAAAGGACCAGAAACTT